GATCAGGTATACAATTCCAAAGACATAGAAAAGAAGGTATAGATCCCACTGCATTTGCAGAACTTCTCATGGTTTCAGGTGTTGTGTTAATGGAGGAAGTAAATTTTTTAAGTTTTCATTCTGGTTATGACTTCGGTTATCTGTTAAGACTTTTAACAAATCAGGATCTACCAGAAGATGAGAAGGAATTTTTTGAGTTACTGAAAACATATTTTCCAAATATATACGATATAAAACATTTATTGAAATTTAATAAAAACCTGAAAGGAGGTCTACAACATATAGCAGATAAATTGTGTTTAGAACGCGTCGGACGAAAACATCAAGCTGGCTCAGATTCCCTTCTAACTGGTATGATTTTTTTTAAAATGCGTAAAATACACCGAGAAGAAAATAATTTAAGTTTCGAACCGACATCTGTGTATATAGGATATAGTTATAATTATAATCGAGACACAGAAGTTGTGCCTGAACATGAGCATAATATTTCAAGTCCTTAACTAAAAATTTTGTTACCAAAATTTGGCAAAAAATAAACAAAAATTAAAGACGTTAATATATATTTTTTGAGAAAAGGTTAATAAATTTATATGTATTGGCTCTTAGGAACAATGCATGACTTCATTTGGAATAATTTTTCTTTTCTTAACCTTTAAAGGTTTTGCATTTAATTTTCTCAAACTTTTTTAATTATTTCTATTGCCAACGTTCATTAACTTTTTTTTGGTTCACGGACAGTGATTAATAAATACAGCTTAATCGAGTTAAATTATGTTTTAATGAGCAAAACAAAAAAAAAACAAAAAAGTATGTATACTATTATTAACTTATATGGTGCGAAAAGAACACTTTTAGCATAATTTCTTCTTGATTTATTGCTTACCATATAATTTAATCTAGCAGGGTAACCCATCTGCTATCGAAACCCATTATTTCGTTAAAATTAATACAAGACTTCTATATATTATGTACAATAATAGCATATAACGGGTATTATTATGCGAAAAGTTTTTTAACTAACCCATACATAACCAAGATTTTTTTTGATATTACCTCTTATATCACGTAAATAGTTCTAACCTGTAAGTAAAGGCTTTTCAGATAAATCTAGTGTCGACTTTAGAAGGGTTTACGTAACTTTGTATTCTTGAAAAAGAATTTTCGGCAAGAATTAGAGCATTCATCCTAATAATACGCATAGGATATACACAACCATTTTGCGTCCAATACTCACTTATGGTGCTGTAGTTTGGTGTCCAGCACTGAATAAAAGCTATAATATTCAAAAACTAAGCAGAATTCAGAGAACAGCTTGCGTTGGCGATAAAGAAACACTTAGAAAGACTTCTTTGCATGCCTAAGCATAGCAAGCTGCACTTGCTACCCATTGATTTTCATTTTGTAAGTATTGCTACAACAACGCCGTCCGAATGAAAACGACAAACATCTGTGTAAAACGTATTGGATATAGCTTTATTGTAGAAACAATTCTAGACTGTCTCTATAGGATGACATCGCTTTAATAAAATTTCCAGATATTATTTCTGGCTAGAAACTGATGGAAAAGAAGAAGCAAACTTCTATGATATATCATGATATATGATATATGATATATCAGCTTTTACAGTTTTCAAAAATGGACTGCCGGATAGCAGAGGAAATTTTAGCGCTATCTGCAGACATAAACTACTCCGTTAGGCCACCTTATCAGGTCACGGTTATTTCAGCTAAAGCTTTAATGATTAGAGAGGCGAACCAGCTATAGTTTATTGACAACCAACCGATATTTAATCCCTTCAATCCTTCATCATCAAATCAATGCTAATTAACTAATGTGAAGATGCAATTGTTTAGCTTAATCGGTTATATGATATTACTATCATCTGTGGTCCTGAACATAAGAACATTGAAGGGAATGAAAGAGCAGACGGTTTTGTCCGACTGGTTTTTTCCTAGATGCATTCTTAGGGAAATAGGTTTCTAACTTCTCTGCTCGGGCATCCAGAAGAATTTTTTTAGAGAAATACTTTCTTGACTACAGAAATCATACTTCTTGACTAGAAGTATATTAAATCCACACAATTTGTATTTTATATGCTAAGGGTTTTAAGGAAAATTGTGATAGTATAATGACGACAAATCGCTAATTGTGGTCAGCGAAAATTTATCTGCTGACCTGCCACCAGACCTGACGATGTAAGGTATAAAAATGTCTATTTTTTTTTCCAATTCAAATAGGTGGGTATACTTCTCTCAATATTCTTGAATTTTTTTTTTCGACACCTTTTTTTTATGCTTTTGCATATTCCTTTAAAAAGTTGTAACCAAACTTTTGATACATTACAAGTGCTGAACAACATCTACGTAAGCAAATTTCGTCTCAACTGCTGGTAAGCTGGTAAGCAAGTTGTCAGACATCATTGTCACACAAAAAAAAAAAGTCACTTGAATCTCAAGTGACTTCACAAAAACCTCAGTAAGCATGAATATATTTCAAGTTAACAAAAAAAAAAAAGAAAAAAGTGCGATATGAAACGAAAAAACCGAACTTTTCGTCATGTCAGTCTCATGGTGATATTAGACAGGAAACCCTAAAGAATCTAGGAGTACATAAAATCAAAAAAGGAGAACATACACATAGACATAAAAAGAAATGTGAAACGTCACTTAAAGTCCTTCATTAGAAAAACAAGTGGTTAGGGGTTTAGACAAAACCAACATTGCTATTAGGCATAAATTCTCTATAAACGACTGAATATGTTGTTTCTTTCTATTGAATTCCTTTTCAAATTCGCATTTCTTTGCTTTCGTTTTGTAATTATATACTTTTCCGTTTTGCAGCAGTAAAATAATGCTCGAAACAAAATTTCAAGCTCGACAGCTTGAAATTGACAAACTCCTAATAGACTGAACTGAATTCCACTGAACTTTACTAGAGCGCACCAAAAGATAAGGATTGAGTATGAGTGGGAGTGGGAGTTGGAGTTGGAGTGGAAGCGGGAGTGGGTGTAGTTGACTGTAGAAGTTTTCGTAAAAAATTTGAAATTTAACCAACAGATATTACCGGCGAAAAATATCTGAGTCTATGAATGTCAACGAGAACGTTAATTACTGCAGCAGATATTTTTGATGACCGAACGAAAGTTGACATAAAGTTGATGACCGATTTTCATAATAAGGCTTCAAAGTCATTGAAAGCTACTTAGGATTTCACTGTCAGGTTTATTTTTTTTTTTTTTCATATTTTTGTTTTTCAATTTTGCAAAGTAAACGAAAATAAGTCAAATAAGCTAACTAAGAAACGACGACTCTGCGTCAGAATTGCACGAAATACCAAATTTCTTTACATAGGAACATACGAATTATTGACCTATCCCACAAAAACTTTATTAACCACAGGCAATTCTTCTTTGTGAGACAAGCGTACAGCACCTGCTACAGTGAAGAGAACCCTCAAATTACACTTTCAAATGTGTATATATATGTATGTGTAAAGCAGTAAATGCACGCACACATAAACACATACTCTCACAAGAATATGCTTTAATGATTTGCAAAAACAAAGCAAAGCATACAAATAATTTGAAGTAGCAGAAGGTGCAACGACCAGCATTTGACACATGCAGAGGGTGCCAAAAAAAGAGAAGAAAAAAAGTAGGTAAATATGCATAAAAACGTACAAAAAAAGGTAGTAACAAATGTAGGAGATACACAAAGGAAACAACAAAGCGACGACGATTCAGGCACTCAAACATGAGAGATATCAAATGCCAAAAAATAAAAAATAATATAAAAGCAAAATTAACTAAAAACATAATAACAACAAAAATATATAATCCAAACAAAAAAAGCAACAAACAAACAAAAAGCAAAAACAAAAAAGGCGAGAAAAAGAAATTAAAAACAAAAGAGTTTATATAAAACAGAAACTTAACAGATAAGCAACGTAATTTGCATGTTAGGGCTTTTGTGTCGTCATTTGTCATTTGGCAAGAAATTTTTGCAGTGTGCTTTCTCGTATGTGTGCGCTTACTTTAGCATTAAAACGATGTCAAAGGAATTAATTCCCAATTCATCAAGTTTCGGTCTCTATTCTACAGCCAAAAAAAAATTACAGTACAAAGCACAGAAGCACATAAGAGCCAAAAAAAAAATTGTTTTACTGAAATGTAAGTAAAAAAACTAAAACATGTAAAAAACCGTCGCCGCTGTCCCTTGCAATCTACGCTTCTTAAGCATTTTTTTGCCATTCTATAGTTTATTTATATACATATATATATACACATATATGTAAGTATATTAAAATTTTTTCTTTTGTAAGTTAAAAGAACCTACCTTAATGAAGGAAGCCCCAAAGTCGGCTCGTCCGTTTAGGCTTTTGAATTTTGTGATGTTCTGCATGCATGCCAAAAGGTTCTCAAATTACGTAAGTGCCTGCATGACTACGTAATGAAGAATTGCTTTCGTATCTGCATATGTCATACATACAAATATAATTATAAAGGCACTTATGTTATACATATATATACATATATATACTAGCATAAATTACCATCTCAAACATAATAGCTCAAAAATATTAACTTCTAAAGGCATTAAGGCGGAAGGAATTTTTAAATATTATCTCTATTCAAAGTAATATTAATAAAATATTGCAAAAAAATATATATAATAATATTAAAAAAATTTATGATTTACTTAAACAACAATTAATAAGTTATATATATGTATGTGAATTTACTTAGCTTATAAGCAGATATATAGCCTTTAAGTTTACTGAAATGACAATATCTTTCATGTACTACCCATACTACACAAATTCAACAACCTAAAATTAATATCGCCTACAAATAGATATGAAACATTGATTGATGAGTTTGTCTCTCTAGGCACTTCTGATGTGTGCCCAACTTCTTCAGTCTCTCAGATCAAGTTCGGTTAATGTGGTTATTTCTTCCTCAACTCGATCACTCCACCGAAAATATAGTCAACCGCCATGCCTTCTTCCTCCAATGACGACTACAACAACCCTTTTTACTGCAACATTTGATCTATTCTCACGACATGATCAAACCATTAAAGTCCGTGAATGTTCATTCACTGAATTTTATGGACGTCGTGTTAAAACTCGTACAGCAAATAGCTCTTTCGGATGCAGTAGCCATCACCAACTCGTAGAGGTCCACAATGAAAAAACTGTAAGACCAATGTCACTACTGGCATGACACTATTCCTACCAGGTTTGAAGATGATGAATTGTGTTCCTAGATATAAGGAACTCTACATTTGTATAAATTTAATCTATATTTTTTAATGGCAAAATAAATTTGAATACTTGCAAAATATGTTGCGGCACCAATAACTAAACTTTATACTGGAACTGCTACAGCTACGCTACCCAGTAGAAAACGGATCGATCCGTCATCGAAGACGTCTTCAAGACATGGATACATACATGAAGACCGATCGATCCAAATGTATGACGGTCTTCGAAGACACTTTCATACAAATTAGCCAAATGTCTTCAATGAATTTTTGCGTACATGTCTCGAAGACCGTCTCGAAGACCA